AGTTTACCTAATATGTGTTCCACATCAGTCTTAACCTTCTCAGAATATACCAAGAGTTTAAGACTTGTGTTGCATCAGATAAACTTATCCAAAACGTGAGTAATCTTGCTTGGATGTTCATAAGACCACACGTGTCAGTGTGTACCGACTCCAATTGTCCTTTATGTCTATTTCATCTGGCTGATTAAGCCCTAAGAGTTATCTATCCTTCAAAATAGGGTTCACAAGTTTGGTTTAGGCTCCCCTGCCTCACTAGGTAATTAACCTTCTTTGACCAATCTTTGAATCTTATTTTGATTGATAACAACCCAAAAATAGACATTAAAAATACAATGAGTCAAGAATAACAATTTTTCTCTTAACATTCAATCTAGAAGATGTAACATTAGTTTTTACATCCTGCAAATCTTAAGAGTTTGTGATTATAGTATATTAACCATCTTTCAATGCACCAGAAGCAATAGCATATCTATTTAATTTTATAAAACCAGTTTTACAAAATAACAACACAGTTTTTATAAACCATAAGTGAAACAAAAATTAGATTGCGTCTAACTTCTGTGCATAAAGATAGTTTTCTAATATTAATATCCTCATACTCTCTAATTTCAGATGTAATACTCCCACTAACCTAACTACAACCTTGGCATCAGGTCAAAAGATAAATATATATCCATATCATCAAGGCTTCTGGATTCCTGAAATCCTTACGATGAATTGCAAACATGTTTAGTGGCTCCAGAATCTATCCATCAGGAATTAATAGATGCAACCACATAACATAGCTCAATGATTAAATATATATTTTCCTATGCCACGTCATTGCTTAGACAGTTCGTCCTATAGTGTTTTAGTTAACGGCAAAAGAAACAGTTTCTTTCGCCCTCAACATATACTGTCTTATTCCCTTTAACCTTTTAGATACCTATGTTTTGTGCTAGCCTAGTCCTATTATCATCCTTCTTCTTTGCTTTGCCCGTCCACTTGGGCCTAGAAGAAGATTGTATAGACTAGGTTAGATTGATAGGAACGCCCAAACTCTTGATTATCCCTTCATCTGTTACCAATTCTATAAGAATATCAGTGAATGTGAACTCAAACTGATTCCTTATTTAGTTCACTCTAACAGAGTCGAACGAGTTTGGTAACAAGGCAATAATCATGTCAACTTAAAACTTACCACCCAAGTCAGCCCTATTGATCTCCAGCTAATTTTAAATAATAAACAATCATTTTCCAAAATTCGATTTCATACTGGAGTTCCTTAGGCTATCTTGATGCTATTCAAGTCTGATATAGTACTTTAGCATACTCTCTATCTAATCTCACCAAAACATCTTATTGACATTTAACATGATACTTGAAGAAAATAAAATAATGTAAATGTTAGTTTTGGAGCGTATTCGAGGTAAACTCTAGAATATTGCACCAATTCATCTCATTTGCCTTATTTCACTTATTCAAAGCATTAATGTTCTCTTGGGTATCTCAAAGTAAAAAGATTAGGTTTTAGGAGTAGTAAATACATTTGTACCACCACGTTGTGAATAAAATATCTAAATTCCTTTTCTAGTCATTATAAATGAAGTCCACATACATTGAAATTAGCAAGCAGATAAAATGGATTAGACATAATTAGTCTAAATATAAATGCATTCATACAATATGCAAGGTGAATTATTAATACTGTCATGCATATTTAAAATTAAAATGAGTTTGTTTACCACATAATATAATAAATCTCAATCGAACAAGAGATCATTATCATTATTGGTGAACAATCCCTTTTAATTAATGTGGGTCCCTCAACTCTGTAGCATAATAAATCAACCAATCAATATGTCAATAACTTATCATGTTGGAGGAGTTCATTATTACTATTGTAGATATTCATTTGCTATTAGGTGAGAACTTCCATTAAAATAATATATGGGTCCTTTAACCACTGCATGAAAAATCGGATAACCAATACACCAATAACTTATTGGGTTGGCGAAGTTCATTATTGTTATTGACGGGTAAATCCCATCATCGCCATATTTCTTAAGACAATGTCTTGTCTATCTATATGAAATAATTCCCGATTATGTTTAGCCTTTCTAAAATCACTTAGTGTAGACCACTCCGTTGGGGAGCTAACACTATTGATTTTAGATTGAGTGTATAACGTTATTAAAGTTCTAATGAAAAATAAAATATAAAATATCTTGTCATTATAATCTAGACTCTTTAAATCATGCGTAGGGCCTTATTTTTAAAGATTTAATTACAATGAACATTTAATATTATTATTTTCATGAGATAACCATTCTTGTAATATTAAGACTCTTCAAATCATACGTGGGGCCTTATTTTTGAAGATCTAATTACAATGGTTTTAATAGCGAAGGCCATAGGGCAACATATAAAAATTTCCGCTCCCACTCAATTTTTAGTCATTAATAATTAGGGTTTTCAATTTACATGATATAATGCATGCAAAACGTCTTGATTTTAATCCCATTAAATTTAGAAATTATTTGGACTTTAAATGATTCACTAATATTTAATTTGAAGCACACTTTAAAAATAATTTACAAAAATAATTTTTCGTTTCCCAATAAGTGCCCTCAAATTAATTAGTAATCTAATCCAATTAATTTTCATAATTTAATTAATGTAAATCAAACCATTTAAATAAATATCATGGATCCAATGCATGAATAATAATTAATAATCAATTATCTATTCCATGCATTACATACATCAATAAATAATTAAACCACAGACAAACAATTTAAATGGCCAATGGATTTAGCTTTTAGCATTTAATTGCTCTACGTATTGCCCGAGGGTCTTCCATCCACTTGCAAACACCCGTAGGAGACAAGAACGCGCCTGAAGAAGCATAACAGTGCCTTGAACAAGCCCGAAGGACCCCACACGCGCTCCCACGCGCCTAGAGGAGCTGCCAGGTCAAGACACGCGCCCCCACGCGCTTCCATGCGCCTGCACGCACGCGTGGAAGAAGTTGACTTGTGCTGGCTCGTGCTTCTCACGCGCCAGCAAACTGATGACCCTGGCGCGTGCTCCTCACGCGCCAGGTGTATTATGTTGGTGTTGCACTTGATTGCAGCCCTTGATCAACGGTTGTGGATCCGGTTGCATGGTCCTACGCTGCACCGGATCCCATCTCTTCCTCCGGTCCTGCCTCTTGCCGCCGGCGAGCCTCCGGTCACCGGAAAACCGCCGTTAATTCCAGAAAAATTAATAAAAATTTCTAGAAATTAAATTTAGGCCCTAAAAATTTCAGAAAAATTCCAGAAAATTTCTAAAAAATCCCAGAAAATTCCTGAAGCCTAATTTAACCCTCTTTGACCTTCTTGAAGCTTCATAGCATCCTTTGATGAAGATTACATGGCTTTAAATAAATTTACAATTTGAAATACAATGGAAAAATTAAATTACATCATTGAACTTTCAAACGGCTAAGTCAAAGCCTTAATTACAGTCATCCAAAGATAAAATTACATTCAATTAACTTATAAACTTCATCCATGGCCCAAACACACATCATCATCCATTCACAATTATACATACATCATCATGTATCAATATATTAAATCATACATCAATATATATATATATAATTTGGATCCATGATGATGATTTTGATAAAAACATGATCTCTAGTAATGAATCAAACCATGCTCTGATACCACTGTTGGGAAACGTGCAAGTTTTAAAAACTTTTCGAGGGATTTTGATTCATAGATCTTGATTCATCACATAGAGACAAGTTTTATGCAAAAATAAAAATATGATGTATCATTCAATTAATGAATTGAATACTTACATCAAAGGTCTGAGTAAACCTTTAAAACTTTCCTCTAAAGTGAATGTTCTCACTTATTGTAGATCCCTTAGCAAGATGCCTTCTCCTTGGATCTCCATCTTCTTGGTAATTATTTTGCCTTTAGGAATCACTCATAAGCCTCCATGAATTACCTTGGAAAACTAGGCTTGTGGAAGCCTCCATTAGATGAGAACATAAACCCTAATTTTCTAGAGAGAGAAAATTTATTCCTTTTTCCTTCTCATAAAAATCACCCCCTAAAATATACATAGACCATGTATATTTATAGGCAATATAAAAATAAAGAAAAGGAAACAACAAATCCTTCTCCATCTCTAATTCATATGTCTCAAATCTAATATGATTCCAATATCAAGTTGGGCTATGAGTGAGAATCCATTGGGCCTATTATTTTATTGGCTACAATGAACTAATAATTGGCCCGGTCCATGGACCCAATTCAATTAATTCATAAATTAATTTTTACTCCACTAAAAGAAATTAATTGAACTCTAATTAAATAATAAATAACCTCTAAGTCAATATTGCACTTTGACCCCTCTATGCATAATTAGTTATCGGATAAATAAAGCCATCAGTCCGACTACTTAATTAATATATCTATTTTGGTACCTTTGATTATTTCTGGCTCGATCACAATAAAATATTTGTTTGACAAAAATAATAATTTAAATAAATAAATATATAATAAATCATTTTGTCTAAAAATACACGAAGGCCTTCGAATTTACTTTGTGATCAACCATAATCAATACAAAATAAATACAAGTAGCAATGATGCAAATATTGAAAATATAACCCTCAAACTATTAATTACATAACTACCCAAAGTGTCGGTCTAAGGATCCCGAAGAATCCGCCGAACAAATCAAAGTAATTATTAATTAATAAAAGAGTCTATAATTTTCTCATACTTAAGAGTCAAATGCCATGACGGTGATAGGGAGCAATTGCATACGACGGCTCTCGCAATATATCTCAACCTAACGCGGATCCAGTTCAAATCTTAATTAATTATGAGTCCATCCATAATTACCGACTATGAACCATTTATGATTACTATTTATATATCATGCATTGATTGCCATCACAAACATATATATAAATATCTCTTGTAATCAAATGGACACTATCAATTCTATAATGAATCGAAATATAATACATTGAATTCACCAATTGTATAAAACATAAATATTTTATGAACGCCAGGAACATATGTCACTTTAATCCAAACAGAAATTTGCTATGTCAGGACATATAAATCCCAACATAAGTATCTTCAAATCCAACGATGGGTTAAGTATCTTCAAATCCAAAAGACCAAAAGCAACATTCCATTACCAATAAATATCACTGACCGTTGGAAGTTGAAATATATATACTGATACCATATACGGAGTAACAATATGTTGATCAATAATTATCTTACATATTTGCAACCAGTGTGTAGAAAATGGCATTGTATAATTCTGCAAACAAATTTTCGCCTCTCAAAACCAAAGCAGTTGGTCACATTACTTCCATGCCTCTTTATTTGCAAATGCACCTGGTCAAAGAACAAAGTTGTTTTAACCAGAGACTTTAAACTAGTATTAATACTGCAGATTTGAAGAAATTATGTCATGATCTGAGTAAAATCAACAGCATGTTACTTCAATCCATCCCGTTACCCCATAAAATGTGATTTTTAAACAGTAAATACTTGCGATAGATAAGCTCAGCAAGGATATTAACAACAGTTACGGATGGCAATGGGGCGGGGTGGGTCAGGGATCTCATTCCTCGTCCCCATCCCCACTAAATTTTTCAATCCCCATCCCCGCCCCCACTTAAAATTTCACCACCACCCCCACCCTCGACCTCTTATCCCCATCCCCGCCCTGGCCCCGATTAACATATATTATTTTTTAAAAAAAAAGTATAATTTTTCTTATTTTCATATATATAATAAATCTAATTTAGTAATAAATTATTAAATGTAAAGGTATATTAGTAATTTAATACTTAATCGGGACCGTACGAGACGGGGCGGGCCGGGTTTACTCGATCCCCGCCCCCAGCGGGTTTTCAAAATTTACCCCATCCCCATCCCCGTTTACATAAAAGGGTCCCCATCCCCGCTATAAACGGGGAGGGGAGGGGCGGGGCAGGGACCCGGCGAGGATGGAAAATTTGCCATCCCTAACAACAGTTACTGCAAACTTTTTCTTCTTTTTTTTGGGAAATATTTTTTGAATGAAAAACAACACTCATTTGCAACTAATTTCAAAGGTCACCATCCCCGATTTATCAGCAAAGCGAAAAAATCTCTTCTGGCACGGTACTGTCAGTAGTGAAGCTTTGCAAAATAAATACCCCTATCCCACAACAATCGGAAGCTAAAGTCTAATGGCTCTATTAACAAGTTCTGTAATATAATTAGGAGAGCATCTAGGTAGTGCTTGCATGAAGGTTGCTTGCACCACTGTAGTAGTGGCATGTTTCTCCCCCGAGATGATTTTTCCAATGAGCTTGATTCAAGGCGAGGGGGGAAAAACAAAGTGACTGCACTATTAATTGGTCTCATCAAGTTGTTCGGAGGGGAAGACTAGAGACAGAGTCGACAGACCTAACTTCTCACAGTTCTCAGAATGCATGGTCTTTACTTAGTTTGGTTAAAGTCGACATCAACACAAACCAACCTCCACCACCACCAATCTACCCCAGTTGTGAGCAATGAGGGCTAAATGCATAGAGAATATGTAACCTTGTCGAGGAAGCCAAAATCTTTATTAGCCATGTTTTTCAAAGAGGTCAATAGATCTCCTGATGCAATTGGTAATTCAACCCATCGGTCGAATAATAGCTTCTTTCCACAAAGGTCGACCCATAAAAAATTGGTATTTGACTGGAATTTAGTGTAATAGTAACTCTGCAAATAGTGCATAACATTTATCATGTGCTTATTGTTAGATGTGTGAATAAAGGAATTCTAGAATATGAAAATCATTTTCAGTAAGTCAAATAGCCCATAATGCATAATTACAGTAAAACGTAAATGCAAAGATAAATGAAGAAAGTAGTCTCAAATACTAAACTCGACATAAACTCCATAGTAAGCAACCAAAAGACCCCAGAAACTGTAATAGAGACAATCCCTTTAGAAGATAAGGTAAAAGAAAGAAAAGAAAGACATGAAAAGTTCATACAAACAGAACAATATAAGAAAAGGCAAATAGCACCTTAGAGAATACTCATTTTAATGTCCTATCTTCAAGGTAATGACCCATTCAAATGACTAGACTATCGCGTAAATCTAATTTTGCACAAGATATACAGCATGTTTTTTTTCCCTCCATATAGGGGAAGGGGAAATTGAATTTCATATATCATTTGTTTGTAACCTCTTATTTTCAGGTATGAACTGGACTAATACCTCATTATAGGGAGTATTTATTCGATGCCAACAAATAATGGATGCATAAATCATCTATAGTTGACATGTCTCACATAGAAGATTCAAATTATAAAGACAGTTTCATAGAACATAAGAATATTCATTAGTTTGCATCGAATATCTTCCGCTTCAACATAAATGCAATTTTTAAGAAATTTCTTCTCATTATGCATCCCAAGTACAAATACATACTTGTATATAGGATATTAAAATACCAGATTGTTAGCACCACATATAAGCAACATATCAAATAATGTAATGGGATGTCCATTGAAGCTGAACGAATAATATATGAAATAACAGCATGTAACAACCCCAATAGTTGGAAAAGACTTGGACCGTGGTGCATCATGAAGCATCAGGTCTCGGGATCGATTCCTGCTAGGTGCAAACAATTCCTTGGAAGGGGGTGTGTGACTACCAACTAGGAAAAAAAAATACCAGCATGTAACAATGACGAGTATATATACCAAGATGCCTAAAGTAACGGAATCTTCACAAACTTGCAACAGGCATGTTGTAGAAGGTAGCACGAGAAGTGTAGGTTAACTTCTCAGATCCCTTAAGTCTGAACTCGATTGCAGTTACAGTCAAGTTTCTTCCACGCCTTACTACAGAACCATCAACTATTAATTCTGCCTGTGAATGTAGAAAATAGCCCATTCAGGAAAAGCAGTTAGGAAATAATAATAATAATGAAGTCAATGCCATGAATGAATATGAGGTTAAACCATAACTACACAGTTATATGATGAATTCAAAACAAAAATCTAGACATCATAAATTTAAGTCATTACGGCTCAGTTCTAGCCTTCCGTACTTTCACCTTGGAGGTCCAAGTCAATGCCCATGACCTGGGAGCACTGATATTATATTGATATTATGGTCATTGGGGTCAAAGCAAAAGCAACACACAACAGAATTGTGATAACTAATTCAATATTTGTCAAGACTTCAGCTGTAAACAAGTAATTTCTTTTTTTGGTCTCCCACTGCCTTCCTATATACATATATATATATATATATACACACACACACACACATACATACATACATATGTGTAAATATATTAATTATGGGATCATAGTGATCCCCAGCCTCCTTTGTTTTAGAAGGCATTTTTCAGCCATGCCTTGAGGCAAGACATGCAATAAAATGACTGGAGGCAAACAAAAGTAAGCAGACCCCTATGAGGTGTATGCTTTGGTGGACTAGGCTACACCCAGGGCACAAAAGGTGTAGTTTTCTGCACCCAAGTGGATTAAACATATGCCTAGTAGGAGTAAAGATAATGGCCTTCTTTATTTTATAACTTTTTTCATTACTATTTGATTCTACCGATCCACCACAGTTGAGAAAAAGCAATCACGGTCAAGGCTTTTAAGATACATTTTTTGGACTTGTGGATCTCCTTTTAGAACTCATCGGCTAATTCCATGATTTCCTCCGACACTAGGTCAGCAACTTCAGGCATGTTTTCGGACCAATGTCCTGAGGGCTTCCAGCATGTTCTTCCCATTTCAAGGTAAAACCTCAAATTTTAATTACTTGGGTCCAAGGATTTGATTACAAGGATCTTCTCCTACCATTCAGTTTTATCAAGGGACTATCTCCTTTACAAATCATAAGACATGAATTTTTTATTCCCCCACCTGCACCCTACAACCTCAAATTGGTACTTTCTTGTAATTGCATCACCTTAAACTCGAATCAAGATACTCATCCATGTTCACAAATTTATTGGTCCCATTGTGCAAAATCAAACCAGTTTAATAGACTTTCCTTGTTTATCCTCAAGATGCCACCACTAGCTCTCTGAAATGCATTAATTTCTTATTACATCTTTTCTTGGATTGCCATTCATCCATCTTAATATTCATATCTCAGTTAACGCTATTTTTTATGCATGCCTCGTGATAGTATACTTTGAAGCACAACTAGCCTTGAGCCTTTAGAATTTTTCACTGAACCTGATAGGTGTTAAATAATTAGACAGAGATCCGGAGCACCTCTTCAAATCAAAAATCATGCCATAACTGTATGGGAACGCTTAATCAAGCTCTCCTTCATTATAAAATTTTCATAAAATATACTAAAAACAGAGTACTTGGGTATCTCTTGCCAATAAACTTTCACATATAGTTAAACGATAAATGTGGTCAAACTTTACTCTAAATTTAATTTCTCTAAAACTAGGGTTGAGCAGAACAAATAAATTCATTTTAAATTCTTAACAAATACAGTAATGTAATTGTATTGGGGGCCAAGGGGGGGACTCACATTCTCTGGAGCAGCAGAGAGATAAGATATGCTCAATTCTCCAAGAAAGAGATTTTTATCTTTGCCCACAACGGTTCTAGCACAAGCAATTGACACCATCTCTGCCACAGCTGCAACAGCAGCTCCGTGCAATCCGCCATAAAAATTCTACACAATTCATAAACTGTAACATCAAACTTCCATATATATATATGTGTGTGTATATATATATATATAATATGATGAGAAAAGAAAAACCAAATAAAATAAAATCAACATGTTTATTTTTTTCATAGAATCCAAGTTTTAAAAATTCAGTCCGTTACCTAAAATAGATGTAGGAATTTATTTTTTTCATAGAATCCAAGTTTTAATAATTCAGTCCGTTACCTAAAATAGATGTACGAAAAAAAAAAAAGACCACAAAGATGCAAAATTTTATCTAAGGATCAAAGCTTATTAATTTATCTACTTTCCTTACACTTTCCGAGCAACCAAACAGCAAACACAAAGATTCAAAATTTTACTATTGATTACAAAATTTATGTATTATTCAAACGGAGTTAAATTAAAAGCTTGATTGATATTATTTTCTCGAACTTTCTCAGCAACCAAGCAGAACTTCAAATAAATAAATAAATAAAAGAGTGAATGATAAGAAGCCAAGTATAAGAGACTGAGTTACAGCAACGGGAGGCTTCACGGAGAGGAGACATGAGATCCGGCCACGCTCGATACGGTGGACCTTCAAGAGGCCTCCGATCAAGTTGGAGTAGAAGTGCTTTGAATCGTAACGCTCGGGGACGTGTTTCGTTACTCCGACATTGTTGAAGAACCCAAGGACCACAGATTTGTATTTTGAAAGGTCTTCATCAGAAATACCGGCGGCGGCGGCGGTTGCAGATGAGAAAAAATCAGGGTCTGGGCCGGAGGATTTCTTGCTCTCCATTTCTGCTCTCCTGTCACCCAAATTTGGGGGAAGTGTTCAAATGAACAGATACAACAATTACTTGTGTTGGATTAATTATATAAGAACCCCTATTATATATACATATTATATTAGAATAATTACACTTATCTTCGCTGTAGATTAACTAAATAATAGAAACCTCCCTTCTAATTTCAAATATAACATTGGCATCTCCTATCAATGTTAACTTTGACTCAAATTAGTTAAATGAATACTATACCCATGACATTTGTTAAAATACAACTCATTATTTCAAATTTAATTGTATTAAAAATCATACTAAAACAAGATTAAATACAATAAACACATACAACAAATAATTGACAAGCCGTTTTAATAAAGAAAGAAGATCTTCATATTAAGTCTTTTTAAGCCAAATGCGTTTCCATGATATTCTATCAAGGTAATTTTTACTAAGTTGATAAGTTTGGTGTGCTTCGTCGTTATTTGTTCGATAAATCTTATTCTAATTACGAGGAGTAGAGGATATGCAATGGCACTGGTACTAACAACATAAATAGGTACTTGGTGGAGTCGTGATCGGTGAATTGTGAGGAATTTCAAAGGAAGGAATTTCGAAGGTCACCAAGATTTTAATGGCAAACAAAGAATAAAAACCAAATTCTTTGAGATTTTTAGGTTAGACCGGAGCAATGGTGAATGGAAAGAGGTGACAAATTCAAAATATTTCAGGGACCAATTAAGCTCTATTCTTGTCTTTTAATGATTCAAAATTCGTCCGAGTTAAAAACAATCCTAAATATAGACCTAACTCAATTTATTTTCTTAGTAACTCAATTTATTCCTTTGGAGGTACCCACAAGGGCCACACATGAGACGAAGATTTTGGGGTGTACACTTTCCACACATGAGACGAAGATTTTGGGGTGTACACTTTGGCAAACGGTACGATTGAGCCATTGAGCCATTAAATCTCTCTCTCCAACAGACGAGCATTACAAGTATCATCAATGATTTCAACCCATAGGCTATATCTGTTTGATGTACATAACCTCTGAACTTTTTTTTTTTTTTTTCCTAAGATTTATATTTTTTATCATACTGGTAAATTTTAGATAAGGATAAATATGGTTGGACTTCATAGCAATGTTCCTCCTTTTGGTCATACAATTGTTTGACCAAACATACAAGTATTGTATTAGGTTTTTAAGATTATGATTTTTATTTATTTATTTTTTGTAGTTTAAGATTCTGATTTCGCTTATTTGTATACTTGTACAATATTGTTTTATCAATAAGATTTTCCACTTGTACAGAAAAATAACAAATTATCATAAATAATTTATTATTATGAGTATAATTGTACTATTGGACTAACCTTGTCATTTTTATACGAATGGTTCAGATTCTTTTACATTTTATCCTTTTTAAAAAGAAAAATAGAAGGGCCTATTTTTCAGTGAAAGTATTCTCATACTTCACAACTATTAGAAATATTGGTATTTACATTTCACATTTTTTAAGGATAATTGTATAGTTTTAAACTATAAAAATCAAATTCAGTTTGAGAGAATAATGAATCTAAATAAAATACAATAAAATAACCAATAGTTCAATCACAGGCTCTTACTTTCCAAAGAAATGTCAGTTCAATCCTCGGTGAAGGCATGTGTGTGTGAGTATCAACTAAGAAAAAAAAAAAAAAATACAATTAATTTTATTATATATATTTACTTTACACGAACAATGCTAGCATCTAAATTTCAATCTTCCATTTGAGATAATTATTCTCGTAGCATTGTCAAGAGATCAAAAATCTTTTTCTTGTCCTTCAAGGTATTATGCATATGTGTGTATTCATATTTCGGTTATGAAAATTTTAGTTCTTTTTTTATTTTTTATTTTTTAGGATAAATTGCGCTAACACTCGTTAGGTTTGCCCAACCATGATAAAAATACTTACTTGCCATTTGATTTTTGAATTGACCTATGTGAATCATTGAATTACTTTTATAACCTGCTATTAATTCACCAAAATTGCCCTCAAGAATGAAAAAAACAAATATAATTTCTTTTTATTTTTTCTTTGTTTTTGTGGAAGAAAAATGTGACATGTTGTGTAAGTAATGTTTCAGTAAACACTAAAAAATAAAAATATTAGCTTGTGTGTGATTACTTGAAGGTGATATTTAATATTTGAATATTAAAAATGATCTTATAATAAAAAATATATATATTTAAAAATCATATTTCTTACCGCTTGAGATGGAAAGTCAATGTTTTGTATTAGAATTTTGTTTAAGTATTAGATATTATTACTAATCTATCTATTTCAACTAGAGTATTAAACATGCACAAAAAAAAAAAATTCTTATAATGGTTTTATATTATTCTAAAATTTTAATTTTACATTACAAGTTTGGCCTCCCAATTAAAAATTCTTCCTCGCTCCGCCCCTGGCGTTAGTGGCCACAGTGGTGGAGTTTGGTGTTTTTTTTTCTTTTTTTTGTTAAGGGTCATTTTGGTCAAATAAAAGGACTAATTATTGTACTTTAATGATTTAAATGATTATGTACACTTATCATGCTTGGGGTATTATTGTTCAAGTTTTCAAACTTACGAAGACAATTAGATCACACTCTTCCTAAGTTATATCTACATGTCTTTATTACAAACTTAAGGTATAAGTGCAATTACCCTTTCTTTTTTTTTTTCATCTCTAAACCACTCTATCGTATATTCTTCAAACTTGTTAATATATAAATTCTCCTAATGAGAAAAGTTTGAACAATGTGATCATTCATGTAATCTATGTTTTTATATTATATATTTTTTAAATCAAAAAAATGGTGAACATTGTGATTACTCCTCTCATATATGCGTTTGCTAATGCAAATCACATAAATGTGCTTTCTATATTTGTTGAGTTGTAGAATCTCGATTTGATAATTGAGATCATGGAGGAAACCAAATGATCCCATTCTCTCCCTTAAATTCAAGAATAAATTTAATTCTCCCTTAAATAAAAGAATAAATTTAATTTAGAGATTGAGAGTGTTGAATGAAAAATTGATTGTTTAGTCCAACTTTGCAGCTATCATATCCCTGAAATATATCTACGATATTATTTTTTTTCTCTTCAATTTATTCCACTATTTTTATTAAAATCAGATTAATTTTTCATTTTGTTGTTCTATATATTTAGAGTTAGGTACACAATATACAAAATATGAATACATTGTCATATCATTGTCAATTTGTCATGACGTACTCATACACTACAATATTTTTCAAACATCATTACAACTATGTAATAGGTATAGATGACCTAAAATTGACTTATAGTAAGAAACATCTAAAAATTATCAAAAATTAGGGATTAGTCCCAAGTCAATAAACCAAATGACCTCCCAAAAATTATGGAAATTCGAATACAACTCAAACTAGAACTAAAATTCCTAAAAATTAGAAATTTTCTAAAAAGATGACAAAAATGCAGACCTAAATAATGAAATTATATAGGTCAATATTATGTTAATAAGATCAATTTTTATATATGAAATCAACTAGGATAAGTCTTAAATCGTTTATCGTCCCCCATCTTAACTACAAGTTTTAGGATCACTACTCAAATAAACGTAGGACTCTAGGAGTAATATACTCTAAATATATACTCGAATATATATATATATATATGCACACATATATACATATTACACACATATATTATACGCATATGTAGACACTTAGGTGCATGTAACATATGATCATGACATCACCTACAAGCTTGCAGTACAAACATTATATTACATATACAATTCCTTCATTACTATCGTCATGATCCACGTTCCACAATAAGTTTGTACCCAAGTCCCATCCTTAATTTGTAGAATTCCAATTACAGACAACAACACACAACAGTATACACTGCACCTATGGCAGCATTCATCATATGATAACAAATAGTTACCAAATTTACTCCCAAAGCAGCATCAGCACAATAAACCGTCAAGAATCCCAAATTGGTGGAGGGGGTGGTAAGCCAAGCTCTCTGCGTTGCTGTTCATCCGGTTGCAACCCCACGAGCCCGGTTCCCACGTAGTGCACTAATGCAGATGCAGCTTCAAATTTCCTCTGCAAATTCAAAGATGTCGACATAAAAAGCTTTGAACGGGTTGTTACTGGTTTCTCTTCTGGTGACCGGTCAAGCTCAGCAACCTTTACAAACCGTTCCGTGGCAGCTTCCCATGACAGATTGTGCATGTGTGCATCTGTTAGCGGAGCAGGCTCTTCAGTCAATGCCTTGCATGTAGCTCTAACAAACCCATCGTCATTCTCATATGTTCGACAGTTCGGGAACTGCTTGAAGAATTCATTTGAGGGATGATCGGCACAAACAACTATTTTGCCCATTGCCAGTGCTTCAGCTGTGGTTGTACAGACCACATCCGTGGTGCTTGGATTTAGGAAAACTTTATAGCTGGAAAAGGAATAAGAAAAGAAAATTTAATAATCGGCAATACACTACAACTTGAACTTCCAAGCATAATGTTATAAGCATAAAAGAAAAAGATGAAAGAATGAAGTCCCTGACAATCAATATCTATTGAACAAACCGCTGGACCATTAGCCCAGCTGGTATAACCTCTCCTCTCTCAAAGGAGAGGTGAGGGGTTTGAGCCCCATAGTGGGCATTTGTGGGTGGGGGAGTGAGTATTTACTTAACATATATATATATACTGAACAAGGGGAAGTGCAGGAGAAGGTTTCTGGTAAAGATAAATAATAGTTTTAATGTTGTGTTGGTATAAAAGAACTGCACATTTAAGAGCTAAAAAGAAGCGCTTCTTGATAACATGTATCGCAAAACCATTGCAATCATCTACTCAGAAGTCATTAACCATGAAGTAGCATCTGATAAATCCTAATAAATCAAATCATTTTTCTTTTTCTTTTTTCTCAGGACAAGTGAAACCAGTAGTAGGGTTAGATTTTAGCACACCGCACATTTCCTTCATATTCCAGGATTAGATATCAAATAAATCAGGAGAATTCCAATCTGTTCATATAAAATAAATTAGAAGAACAATCTGATCTATCAATCTTTATGGGTATTTAGAAATTGGAAAACATGAAAGAAAAGAAAAACAAAGAACAAGAAAGTATTATGCAGGTGTTTAACTTTTAGCCAGGGTCCCAATCTAAAAGCATAACATGAACTGAGAGTTACTAATGCAGCAATAACTAATATCACCAGAACCCTCTGGCATCTGCGCAGTGCATTGCTTTATTTGCAGCTGTAGCGTTCTTAGTTTCGTCTTCCCAGGAAAAATAAATCAAATTGATATTACAAGGAAATAGGGAATGATCGAGAGCTTACTCATGAAATAGAGGATCAGCATGATCACGCCCAGGATGAATTCTAACAGCTATTTCCAAGTCTCTGGCGGCTTCCTGAATTTGAGCAGAGTCCTCCCCGCTACCATATAAATCAACCTCAAGTCCAGTTAGTTCCTTCTCATGATCATGGAGAAGTTGAAGTAGCTCTTTGTAGCCTTTGCCCCACACCATTTTACCGATGAAGTAGGCACCTTTGCTGAAGGCCTGGCGTCCATTTTTCTTTTGCTCTTTCTTTTTCTTTCCAATCTCAAGGAACTTGGGATTAACTCCATGAACATTGCAGATAACAGATCTCGGAAAATCCTGTGTGGCAGCAGATAGCCTTATCACCTGCCATTTCATGACAACTAAGATCTTGTGAACAAGACATCTTTCTGGAATAAATAGGTATTAACAGATAGCATGGGAACAAGCGAAAGAAAGATACGAGTTTGTGTGGTGTTTGTGTGTCAGAGAGAGTCTTATTTGTTCCTACATACTTTTAAAATGATTATCATCCATGGGGAAGTATGACATCATACTATTAATTCAGAAGCAGTAAACTATAAGACACTCGGGCTCTCATTTAATATATTTTCTTTTTCTGTAGATGTTACTCAAACCCTCTCTATGATCTTTCAGACCTTCCATCATTTTCTTGTAAAAGAAAGTAACACCTACACGAAGAACAAGAAATACAGATGCGCAATATCTCCTACTTCCTACTAACAACATTATTGATCTTGCTTTTTGTACTAATCATCTAAACCATGTAGTTGCACGAGGCAGTAGAAGAGAAACACATTGAGGATAAATTAAATGCAAAACTCCCTATCAAAAGAGACTACAAACGAAAGAAACGAATAATACTTCCAAAAGAGTATATTCCCATATCCCAATCTAGTAAAAACGCACTAAGCCAATCATATTCACTTTGGTCTTAAACATCACTCATAGTAAGTGGAAAATTTGCCCAAAACACGTGAGAATATTACAGTACCACATGGCGAATGTATCAAAAGGAGATAGGTTCAGCCTCTCAATAGAGGCCCCTCACTGCACTCTTTATCTAACATTTGAGTAATGCTCGATTGGTTTGTTAAACATGTATAGCAGAACTAGCACACCCCAGTCAACTCTGAATTTTGGTATGTCCCGGCAAATATTCCCCCCTCTGCTATCCTTTCCCAGGCTTGGGAGGATTTAATAAGAGACCGAAATTTTAAGTGAGGGGACAGAGAGCTGCCCTTTCCCATTCCCACCGGTTGCAACACTACAAACGGCAAGCACCATGTTCTCCATAAACACTTTGCAACTTCAACAAATATTGATAGTGACATTAAGAAAGAACAAAAAGAACACACTTTTATTGTTCAAACAAATCTGAAAAGGCATTTGAAAGTGAAAGGCCTACGTCACCTGATGCTGTTTCCTATATATTCTCCTCTGCTAATTGAAAAGTTCATTACATTCTAGCTTGTAACCAATCAATCTGAAAAGGCCTAATTATATTGTACTATTCTAGGGTAAGTGGTGCATTGTGTTCCTGCTCTAGATGAGCATATAAAAGAGATTCAAATTCCAAGAAATATAGAGAGGAATACCTCATAACAATATTTAAAAAATATTTAGAGAGAGTGGCTTATACTGTGTTCTTAAGAAAAAGAGTAGGAATGTAAATTAGTATCAGCATTTATGGGCAAAGTTCTTCCAACAATGGGATAATGGTGTAGCAACCTGGGTTGATGGTTTTAGACATTCGAATGGGGAGATAAATTAGAACCAACTGTCCAGACATAGCCACATATATCCAACAGGATTTTATATAAATAAGAAACGACAATAGAAACCAAACAAATAAAAATAAATAAATAAATAAAATAGCAGATACTTAAAACATTAAGAATTTAGTACTTCAAAAATTTTGTTTCATTGTTTTCTAATTCGTAACTTAAATGCTGACATTGAGGTTTAGTTCACATTTCCTGTTAGATCTTGTGTAGTCAAGTGGCTCCAATTCTCACCTGCAATCCAAACTCCTTCATTAAGCAATGCAATGCATTAAATGAGTCAAAATGTTCCAAGATATATTTTTCAGGGAACAGAATTGGTCATGTAAATGCTCATGGTAGTTTGGAAAAATACATTGTAAGAGGATGTGACCCGCCCCGAAATTCAGGCTCTTTGATGACAACTAGCCTATATCATCATGTCAACTAGCTTTGAAGGAATATCAATTGCCAGAAGGTTCATTACTATTAATATGAGCATAGCACCCTACCCCGATCCTTTTATGAGTACATTCAGAACTATTAAGATGAGACCACCATCAGAAGATTATATTTCACTTGCAATAAGCATACATGAGATTTAGTTGCTTTTTGGAAAGAAAAAGTTGTCACACCAATATAATCTAACATCTTCACAAGTAGCAGATAGGTCATTCCATTAGAAAGAAAAATAAAATTCAAGAAAAATACCTTGTGGCAATATATATCAACAACCCAACTATTCATGTATTTCAGAAAAAAAGCTTGAACTCGTCCATTCTTCTCTCTTCTCACATATTCCAAATAATTGGTGTGAACAACTCCTATAACCAGGCGGAATTTCCTTTTCCATCTCTTGCCATGATGATACCATGTCAGATGTTCTGGTTCCTCAAGGACAGCAATGTCTGCGTCTTCATCAGGAATGATTGCTGTAATATCCCCAACGCCGAGAATGCTTCTTTTATCTATAGAAAACTGCAGTATAAGTATGAAATTATGATATAAGTGATGTTGCAAACTAGAATTTTATTATTTCTTTTTTCAGAATTTGGAATTTATTAATATTAGAATCTATATATCTATACGCGCACACACACATACTATTCTAGGACTCTCTACTTTGGTAATTGCACTAAGCCAGCAGTTCCTTATGTCAAAGCAGTGAAGGGGCATTGTTGGATCTCGTGCTAATGACTTTCATTACTCAATCACATTATACAGGCACCAAGGAACACCAATACCATTCATCTAATCGGATCCAAAATCTTACCAAAGAAAAATGACATTGAATAATAAATTAATAACGAATCAATCAGAAAGCCAAACAGGTACTTTCCATCAATTAATAAAACATGTTGTCCACTTCTGGGCACAATTTAAGTGGATAAGATAAGATCTAAACGGAAGAAGATGCATGCTGAATCATGTTTTTAAGAACGAGGAGTTCAAGCAAAAATCTACCTTTCCTGGATAAAAACGTATACTGAAACTGGTGGATACAAAACCCGTCCTATCCTCAATCCACTGCCGAACATACGTCTCTTGTTCTGAAGGTGATTTAAATGTGATATTTTCAGGATAAACATGTTGTTGATCTTTCAGAGACAACCAAGGAACTACCAAAGTAACCTTTCTCTTCGCATCTTTTGCAAGATAGGCAGCACGAAAGAGAGGATTGACAGCTGTTCCAGTCATCCATGGAAGGCTTGCAGTAGTAAATATTGAAACATTCTCTTCCTTATCCATTCAAGATCAGGTTCAACAGTAATAACTGCTTTTAGCAATACCACTTATGGAACTGGAGACCCACAAGTGACGATTTGAACTGCAAAAGTAAGAAATCACTCCAACCAGCTAAGGCCTATATAGACATCCCAACTAACTGTAACCAAAACAAAGAATCAAATATTAGTGCACTTGGTGTGAATAAATAAATATAAACAACTCTCCCCCAAACCAGATACTATTCCTGCATCTTTAATTCATTAAATATTCTCTGTTATGATTATGAAAAAGAAGAAGATAAACTACTATCTCGTTATTCCATTTTTAAAACATGTATAGAAAAGACAACAATGAAACGCATACTTTTGAAGCGCTCACAACCTCCTTATGCCCAAGTAATGATTAATTCCATAACTGCTACAATTTCAAGGATCTTTCCTAGTATCCCAGAAATTAGGAACATTAAAAACAATAATAATTAACCTGTTAAAATAAAGGAAAATCAAAATTTTCAATTTTGCTCATCTTCTCATACTGCAATTAATTAAACTACAATGTTTTTGAAAAAGTAACAATTTGTGTGCAACAAAAAAAAGGGGCAAGACAGCTCGATTTTACTCATCTACAGAAAAATAAAAATAAAAAAAGGTTATAACTTTAGCAGTAAGTTGATAAATTGTAAATGGCATCATACTTCAACAAAGACCAGCACAAAATTAAGAAAGCAACATCAAGTTTTTCACAATAATTAAAATTGTAGGCCGCAAGTAACATACTGAATGGGGAAAAAAACACAAAACAGACAAATAAACAAAAAAAAAATTCACAGTGATCCACAAGACGATAATATAAGAACCAAAAACCACAGTTTCAAATTCAACAATCACAGCTCGTACAACAAAATACCAAGTTATCGCAAATATAATAATGATAAATTAAAACAAAATTTCCATAGAAAGCACACAATAATGACAATCAACGCATAAATCCGAAGATCATCCCATTAGATTACACTACTATTTTTCGTCGATGAAAAAAAAAAAAAAGCAAAGTTGTACTGTTTCAATCTCCAAGCAAGTAAACAACAGATAGATATAATCGCAAACGAGGTTTTAGCGCTGCTTACCTAGATTTTCTCGGTAACCAAAGAGAAGGTCGATGAATTGTAGCTCTGGTCTTTTTTTCCTTTCCAAGTTGTAGCTCTGGTCTTGCAATTAGTCTTTAACGAAGAAAAAAAAAAACAAAAATAGAAATAGAGAATAACAAATCGAAAAGAACGAAAACATTTAACTTTGAGAGCTGTAGAACACATTTGATTTGCCAAGAACGACGCGCAGACGTAGCGCGTGCCGTTTGTTCCTTGTGTTAACGACAGAGTAGTTAGTAGTTAGCTGCAAATGATCTATATTAACCTAAGTGGGATATATTATCTTAATAGTGATTAAGGATGGAATTTGGCAAAATGTGAGTATGGTGGCCGGCTCGTTATAATGAAGTCACCTTGATCAGATCTGATGTGATGGTCACATAAATTGAGTTCAATAACTTTTAAATTTTGTTCATAAATCATTATTTTTGTTGTAGTTACGCATAAATATTAGGAGGCATATCTAATTATTTGAAAGTTAATTGTATAAAATTCATTAACTATATAAATCACATGAGTAAATAGAAACCTGAATCCACATTTATTTCATTTTTCTTATGTTTGTTCTCGTGGAATATATAAAAATGATATTACTACTAAATATGATAATATAATAAGCCGAATTTTTAGTGATGAACTTGGATTACTCAACGATGTGTCCAAAGCCCGATTCGAGTTGAGCTACTTTTGGTAGTAGAAGAGTTGTTCGAACCGGATTCGGTTTGTTCTTTTTCTTTTGATTGGTCGTATTATTCCTATTTTTTCATTCTTTTTACTACCTTTTTATATACGTGTGAGATATATACGTGTGAGATATCGTTATTATAGTAATTCATTTTCTTCCTTTGTTTTTCTGGTGGTTCGAATAAAAATAGAAATTAGCATCATGGAACATTTTCCTTTTCCTTTCTCTTACTTTTCCTTTGCCCTTACCCTTTTCTTTCCGTCTAGAGAAACGTGTTTGATTGGATAAGAGACTCCTATCTTGCATTAAACGTCCGGTGTGGATCAGAATATGCAGTTATGCACGTTGAGTGCAAGATTTATTTGCTTGTTTGGAGGAACAAACTTCTCTAATGACTAATCCTTAACCTAGCTTCTTAGGTTCACAAGCATGTTTGTGATTAGGGGTGGAGTCAAGATTGCAAAGTAGGAGAGGTAATGATAATAAAAAAAATTAAAGATTTAACACAATAATTTTTATAATAAAGATATGCTATATATATTTAAAAATAAACCAAAAAAATGATAATGGTCTCATATATCAAATCAAGTTTTTTAGGGGATAAAAATTAAAAATTACCCGTAACTAGAGTTTCCTTATCACAGAAAGATTATTTTTTTTCTAGGTATTCTCTTCACTGATTTTTTATCTATATTTGTTAGAAAAGATTAGAAATTGGACCCTCTCGAGTCACTGCAATTTCCTTGCTAGACCCCCAAACAGGCCAAACCAAATACCACCGCGTGTTGAGAGGAATTGACTAAAGAGTAGTAAAAATTGATTACATATCACGTATGAATTAAGGTTGCAACTTGGGCAGGTTAGCCCGAACCCAACCCAAAACCCAAAATTAATTTTTTTTTTCTTTTCTCCTTTCTCTCTCTTCTCTCTCTTTCTCTCTCTGCCGGAGATCTGGGTTGCTTCTTCTTGAGTCGTCTGGTCTGGTCGTGGTTGTCTGATCCTGAGTCGGCCTCGATGTGATGTTGCTTCTTCTTCCCGACGATGGCACCTGCCTCCTCGCCGGAGATATGGGTTTCCTCGTCGAAACGACGGCCGTCTCTTTGAGACCTTCGCAGGGCACTTCTTTGACGGTTTCTTCTTCGGGTGGCGGCGGAGGAGGAGCTCTGCAGTTGGCATCAGATTCCGGCAAGTGGTGGTGGTGATTTGGAGGAACCACATTTGCGTTTTAAAATAAATAAATAAAATTAACACCGAGAATATTCGGTTTTGAACTTTTGATTATTGCAACAGATAGATAAACTGAAATATATAGGTTTTGAAATTCTGATTCTTGTAGATTTAGTACTTTGCAGTTGCAGAGAGAGAGAGAAGGCAAGTTCAGAGTTAGGAACGAGAAGAGAGTTAGAGGCGACGGCGATTAGGGAGGCTGAATCGATTTGCCCTAAATATATATATATATATAATAATATAATCAAAAATATATAATATACATATATATATATATTAGGAAAAGGCACATGCGATGCACGTGGTGAATACTTAATTTGTGGTAAAGTTTTGTTAATTTGTGTTAGAGTTTTATAAAAACTATTTAAATATATCCTTATCTAATGTGATAGAGTTTCAATGCAAATAAATAGGTAATTTGTGGTATAATTTTATATAAATTATTTATTTTCTTTAAATATATATATCCTTGTCTAATTAGATTTTGTTTTATTAATAAAAGATAATTTGCGGTAGAATTTTATACCAATTATTAAATATTTTTTATATTAATAATTCTTGTCTAGTTATATTATATTTTATTAAAAAATTCATAATAAATACATAAATAGGTAATTTTTATTAGAATTTTATATAAACTCTTTTTAAAAAATATTTTATTTTCTTTAAATAGATCGTTGTCTAATTAGATTTCCTTCATCAACAAACTCACAATAAATAGATAAAAACAAGTTATATGTGATAGAGTTTTAAAGAAAATAAAATAGATAATTTGTGGTAGAGTTTTATAGAAATTATTATATTTTCTGGAAATCTATTTATAATAAATAAATAAATAGGTAATACTTTTTATATCAAATAAAAAATATTTATTAATTGATATAAAAAGTGTTTTTTAAAGAGTTTAACCCAAAATTAAATTTTTTTTTTTTCTCCTCTCTCTTCTTTCTCTTTTTCTCTCTGTCGGAGATCTGGGTTGCTTCTTCTTAAGTTGCTTCTTCTTAAGTCGTCTGGTCGTGGTTGTTTGATCCTGAGCCGGCCTCGATGTGATGTTGCTTCTTCTTTCCGGTGATAGCACCTGCCTCCTCGCCAGAGATCTGGGTTTCCTCTCCCTCGCTCCGGCGATTTCGCCAGAGGACGGCCGTCTCTTTGAGACCTTCGCAAGGCACTTCTTTGACGGTTTCTTCTTCGGGTGGCGGCAGAGGAGGAGCTCTGCAGTTGGCATCAGATTCCGGCGAGTGGTGGTGGTGATTTGGAGGAACCACATCTGCATTTTAAAATAAATAAATAAAATTAACACTGAGAATATTCGGTTTTAAACTTTTGATTATTGCAGCAGATAGATAAACTGAAATATATAGGTTTTGAAATTCTGATTCTTGTAGATTTAGTACTTTGCAGTTGCAGAGAGAGAGAGAAGGCAAGTTCAGAGTTGGGAACGAGAAAAGAGTTGGAGGCGGCGATTGGGGAGGCTGAATCGATTTTCCCTATATATATATATATATATATATATTTATTTTATAATAATATAATCAAAAATATATAATATACATATATATATACTAAGGAAAGGCACGTGCGATGCACGTGGTGAATACTTAATTTGTGGTAAAGTTTTGGTAATTTGTGTTAGAGTTTTATAAAAACTATTTAAATATATCCTTATCTAATGTGATAGAGTTTCAATGCAAATAAAATAGGTAATTTGTAATAAAATTTTATATAAATTATTTATTTTCTTTAAATATATATATATCCTTGTCTAATTAAATTTTTTTTTATTAAAAAACTCATAATAAAAGATAATTTGCGGTAGAGTTTTAGAAAAAATATTTTATTTTTTATACCAATTATTAAATATTTTTTATATTAATAATTCTTGTATAGTTATATTATATTTTATTAAAAAATTCATAATAAATACATAAATAGGTAATTTTTATTAGAATTTTATATAAACTCTTTTAAAAAAATATTTTATTTTCTTTAAATATATCGTTGTCTAATTAGATTTCCTTTATCAAAAAACTCACAATAAATAGATAAAAACAAGTTATATGTGATAGAGTTTTAAAGAAAATAAAATAGATAATTTGTGGTAGAGTTTTATAGAAATTATTATATTTTCTGGAAATCTATTTATAATAAATAAATAAATAGATAATACTTTTTATATCAAATATAAAATATTTATTAATTGATATAAAAAGTGTTTTTTTAAAGAGTTTAACCCAAAACCCAAAATTATTATTATTTTTTTTTCCCTCCTTTTTCTCTCCTCTCTCTTCTTTCTCTTTCTCTCTCTGCCGGAGATCTGGGTTGATTCTTCTTGAGTCGTCTGGTCTTGTTTGTCTGATCCTGAGCTGGCCTCGATGTGATGTTGCTTCTTCTTTCAGGCGATGGCACCTGCCTCCTCGCCGAAGATCTGGGTTTCTTCTCCCTCGCTCTGGCGATTTCGCCAGAGGACGGCCGTCTCTTTGAGAACTTCGCAGGGCACTTCTTTGACAGTTTCTTCTTCGAGTGGCGGCGGAGGAGGAGCTCTGCAGTTGGCATCAGATTCCGGCGAGTGGTGGTGGTGATTTGGAGGAACCACATCTGGGTTTTAAATAAATAAATAAAATTAACACTGAGAATATTCGGTTTTGAACTTTTGATTATTGCAGCAGATAAATAAACTGAAATATATAGGTTTTGAAATTCTGATTCTTGTAGATTTAGTACTTTGTAGTTGCAGAGAGAGAGAGAGAAGGCAAATTCAGAGTTAGGAACGAGAAGAGAGTTGGAGGCGGCGATTGGGGAGGCTGAATCGATTTGCCCGAAATATATATATATCTTTAATAACAATATAATCAAAAATATATAATATACATATATATATACTAGAAAAAGGCATGTGCGGTGCACGTGGTGAATACTTAATTTGTAGTAAAGTTTTGCTAATTTGTGTTAGAGTTTTATAAAAACTATTTAAATATATTCTTATCTAATGTGATAGAGTTTCAATGCAAATAAAATAGGTAATTTGTGTTAGAATTTTATATAAATTATTTATTTTCTTTAAATATATATATCCTTGTATAATTAGTTTTTTTTATTTATTAAAAAACTCATAATAAAAGATAATTTGCAGTAGAGTTTTAGAAAAATTTATTTATTTTTTATACCAATTATCAAATATTTTTTATAATAATAATTCTTGTC